GCAACCGAAATGTCCTTCGACAGATGACTGGAGATATGTATATAACACACACACACACACACACACACAATGGAGTACTACTACTCCACCATAAAAAAGAATGAAATAAATGCCATTTACAGCAATATGGATGGACCTAGAGGTCATACTAAGTGAAGTAAGTCAGAGAAAGGCAAATATCACATATCCCCTATCTGTGGAATCAAAAACAAATGAGACAAATGAACTTATTTTAAAAACAGAAAGAGACTCACAGACATAGAAAACAAACTTATGATTACCAAAGGGGAAATATGGAGGAGGGGGATGAATTGGGAGTTTGGGATTAGCAGATATAAACTACTGTATATAGAGTAGATAAACAGCAAGGTCGTACTGCATAGCACAGGGAACTATATTTAATAGCTTGTAATAACCTATAATGAAAAAGAATATATAGTCCTGAGGCGTCCAGAGGAAGGCAGGCTGGACTGAACACCCCTATGGGGGGGCTCTAGGGACCATCAGCAAAAGGTCCTAGGATGATGAAGTTGAGTAGGATGGAGGCTGCTGCAGGGATAAAGACAGGATTGGGGCCAGAGGGCCAGGAGCAGCGTGTGGGGTGACCTGCAGGTGTCATCACATTTGCACACTTGGCTCCCAGGAGGCGGTACCAGCCCCGGCTTTGCTCACCTGCCCTTCTCCTCTCTCCTCCCTCCCCACCCCGACCCCAAGTCCTTCACGCCTTCCTGTTTCCTCTCCTGAGCCTCCCTGCTCAGGAGATTCCCAGTGGGCATCCCACAGCCCACTAGGAGTGCACAGACATAAAGAAGTTGCTCATTTGGGAACAAAATCCTGGCCTGAGGTTCAGATGATCTGATTTCTAGACTCCATTCCACTCCCCACTCACCAGGTGACCAGGACCTGCTTTTCTTCCCTCCTGAGGGTGCAGAATCGGGATTAGAATGTAAAGCAATATGGGATCTCCTCAAAGACGGGAAGAAAGACCAAGGGGCTGGCGTCAGGGGCCTGGGATCCCCCCCTGCCTCCCAGGCATTACTGTGTGACCTTGAGCAGATCACCCCACCCTGCAGGGCTCAGCCTTCTCACTGTCAAGAAAGAGATTGTGCGCCTACATCCTACACGCTCCTGTAGGGGAGACCTGTGTTCAAAACTGAGCACACACTCAGAGATATGGACGTGCTGTGCACATATGAGGAGGCACTGTGACCACAGGACACCAGCCTCGAGACAGATGCTCATGCTAGTCAAGGACTCCCATCCCAGCATCGTCGCCTCAGACCTATCTCAAGACAGAGACCCCAAAATTCTAGATGCAAGACTGTGTAAGATCAAAGCAGTCTTCACCCCTGAACGTCTGGTCTCTGCCCTGCACCTCAGCCTCCCCAAGGAAGGCCGCTCTGTTCACATCACCCTCAGACTGTGTTTGGGAGAAACGGTCAGGTTTAAAGACTATCATCTTCTTGAGCGGTGCCAGATAATGACCCTTGGCGTGTCCAGTTCCCCTGGAGGCTTCTGTTGTTACAGTGACGTATGTCTGCAGCCTTCACAGAGAGTCCTGCGGCAGGAGCCAGCATGTCCGGGCTTGATGAGTTTCCTGATGAGCAAGGGGCGCGCGGTAGTTAGCAAAACAGCAATTAACAGGAACTCTCAACTAACCGGAGCAGCATGGTTCTCAGACACAGAATTTGAGGGCCATGAAACAGAAGAGCCTAGAAATCAGCTCGTGTCACTACCTGGAGAGGCCCCCCCCCCCACCATCGCCACCAAAACTGTCTTGCCCGAGATGATAGTAAAATCTGGCTTTAGCTGTGTGGAGCAAATGGATGACAACAAAACAAATACAAGTCTCATCAGGAATTCCACTGTTCTTTGGATTTTTCACTTCAAATCAGTTCTGAGGCTGAACACCAAAGGCCAAATGACTTCCACATTTTCTACGCGTCTTTCTGTAGCCTGCCACCAGAATGAACTAAAATTCACAAAGACTCGGAAGCTAAGAAAGTCAGTCAGTCATCAAAAATTGAATTCTGTTCCCTGGGTGCCATGCACCAAGGCAGGAAATCGAATGGGGACATTTCAGAGATATTTCCAGCCACAGGGATTGAAACAAAAAGCCTTTTGTGCTTAACCCTCATTTCGCTGGAATACCAAACCGTCTCCTCAGTAGCACTGAAACTTTGTCTACGTGATACTCTTTGTAACATTCTGCTTCCTTCTGCTTCCTCCTTGTACAGTGGATTTTCTTCTCAGACATGGCTCCTGATATTACCAACCCGAAGTGCGTTT